TAGGCCCCCGGTGCCGCCTGGCTCGCCGCTCCTTCCGCCGCGACCCCAGCCCGTCTCCTGGCCCGGAAGAGCGGAGGACGGATCCTGCGCCTGCCTCTGATCGCCTTCCTCTTCCTCCTCCCGGCGCTCCCCCAAGGATGCGGGAGCCGCGGGCCCGGCCTTCCACCGTCGCCGCGCTCCGCCTTTGGTGCAGCCTGTAAGGGGTCCTGCCTGCCTCTCTCCCTCGGCTCCGACGCTCCCTTCTGCAGCCCCCCGTCGGAAGCGCGTTGCCCGCCCGCGTTACATGCATGTCCAGTGGGGGCAGGTTCAACTTTGACGATGGCGGCTCTTACTGCGGCGGCTGGGAGGACGGCAAGGCGCACGGGCACGGCATCTGCACCGGCCCCAAGGGCCAGGGCGAGTACGCGGGCTCGTGGAGCCACGGCTTCGAGGTGCTGGGCGTCTACACCTGGCCCAGCGGGAACACCTACCAGGGCACCTGGGCGCAGGGCAAGCGCCACGGCATCGGCGTGGAGAGCAAAGGCAAGTGGGTCTACCGGGGCGAGTGGGCGCACGGCTTTAAGGGACGCTACGGGGTGCGCCAGTGCACCGGCCACGGGGCCAAGTACGAGGGCACCTGGAGCAACGGCCTGCAGGATGGCTGAGGCCCCGGGGCTGGGGCTGGGGCTGCCGTTTGTCATAAGGCTGGCCCAACCCGGGAGAGCGGGGTCGGGGCCCCCCGGAGGCCCCGCGCGGCCCGCTCTTCGGCCCTCTTGCTAGCAGCCCCTCGTGTGGCCGGGGGGTGGGGTGGGAGAGACGACGCCTGCCAGGCCCAGGGCGGGGCGCGGAGCTTTAGCCTGGACGCGTCGCCTTCCTCGCCGGGGGCTCGTTCCTTCCAATCCCTCCCAAGCCCGGAGCTGGGTTAGAGCCACCTCGGTGGACCGGGCTGAGGCTCGCCCTCCGTGGAGGCTCCTTTGGCAGCCCGAGGAGGAAGGCACCGGTAGATGCCCGCAGAGACGACGCCTGCCAGGCCCAGGGCGGGGCGCGGAGCTTTAGCCTGGACGCGTCGCCTTCCTCGCCGGGGGCTCGTTCCTTCCAATCCCTCCCAAGCCCGGAGCTGGGTTAGAGCCACCTCGGTGGACCGGGCTGAGGCTCGCCCTCCGTGGAGGCTCCTTTGGCAGCCCGAGGAGGAAGGCACCGGTAGATGCCCGCAGGTGTTGGTGGCGCGCGCGCGCCGGGGGGGGGCAGCGTCAGGAGTCATCAAGCTGGGGAGGGAGTGTGCGGGAGAGAAGGGGATGTTGCGCGGGATCCCCGCGGTTTGAACGGGCTGGGCTGATGGGGGGAGAGTCGGGAGGAAGGCCAACCCGGCTGCCTTTCTCCTCCGCCCCCCTTCTAAGGGCCGAATCCCTCCGTCTCGCTCAGCTAGGCCTTCCCTCGGAGGTTGCTCTTGGCCTACCTACGGAAGCCCTGAGGATGGAAGGAAGGGGGTCTCGGGCAGAAATGCTTGCGTCCAGCACCAGCATCTTCTCCTCTCTCGTCCCCCACCCCCATCTTGCCTCAAACGTGCTAGCAGGGGAAAAGGCGAGGCCCCGGGGCCTTCCCCTGGGAGAGGGAGAAAGAAGGGAAAAGCAAGCCCTAGGAGCAAACCCCAAAAACACAGCAGCCCTGTGGGGCAGAGTGTAGTGCTGGGAGTGGATGGGAATCAGCCTCACCCAGCTGGACCGATACAGCCTGTGCTGTGTTGATGAAAGTCCTTTGAAAGGGTTGTTGCTTGGGCACATGGTGAGCACATCGTTTTTGGGAGAAAGAAAGAAAAATAACAGGCAGAGCATGGCTGGGACATATTCTACATGTTCGCCTCTATCCCTGTTTAAGGAGATGTAGTTAGATTCTGCCGCCAAGTTCCTGCAGGCTCCTAAAATTGCTCCCCCAAGGAGAAATCCTGGAGAGGACATTCCACCTCCCCAGGTATCCCCAGATACCAGGGGGTAGGGCTGTGTGGTAGCAATTGTGGTTTCTAAAGAAATGTGGATGAAATTTCCACAACATTGAAAATTAATGTGAGAAGATAGACACTAGGAACATAAATTTGCTGGCTTGATAAAAGGATTCCTGCCCCCAACATTAGGAAAGATGTATGTGAGGGGGATAGCAAGGTGACAGTGAAAGCCATTTGAGAAGAAAGGGCTGTCCAGGTAGTAAAAACGTGCCAGGAGGTTGTGAAGAAAATATTTGCTCTCTCTCTCTCTCTCTCTGTGTGTGTGTGTGTGTGTGTGTGTGTGTGTGTGTGTGTGTGTGTGTAAGCACACAAGTTCTGGTTGTGCCACTCAGCCAAACCATGTTCCACCTGTATTGTCTCATCAGCCCTTTTGCTTATGGTTCACCTGAAGAATTTAAAGAACACCCAGTGAACTTTAGCTGGACTCTTGGAGGACAGCACAGGATGTGTCTTTATTCCATGCAGCTGGAGTTCCCAGAGTAGCTCCAAGGAAACCATCTCCATGTTTCCTGATGACCAGAATCAATGGTTCCCCCACATTCCCACAGTAACAGAGACTGGACGTGCAGGTGGCCCTGATGGGTCACCAGGAATGAGTAACCTCTGGTGATCATCCTATGGGAATTAAGACCTGCCCTCTCTCATCCCCCTGGTCTCTTCACAGCAGGACTTCTTGGGACATCAAAATAATTTGCCACCTATTTTGTTTTTGTTTTTATTTTAAAATGATACATAAGTCACAGGCAGGTTAACTGTCACAGTGTGTGTAGAAAAAGAGAAGTCAGTGTTTGTCAAAGGTTTGACCCCCCCCACCAGTTCCATCTCCAGTTTCTTCTGAAAGAGAGGTGTCTAAACTCAAATGTTTTTTTGCAGATGACGCCTTTTATGATTAAAACGTTAATGGGCTGTACGATTCAGCTTGTCTGCAAGACAAGGGGCCCAAAAAATCTGTTTCCACCCATTGCTCACCTCAGCCAACGTAGGCACCCATGTCTCTTGACTTCCTCCCACAGTCACCCTCCTGGTCCAAAACCACAGAGCAGGTGTCCTTTCCTGCCCTCCTTTTCCACCCTTGACATATGCTGGCTCTTGCAACTTGAACCCAGGGACCCATCCTGTATTTAGGAGCATGCACAGGTTCACACATGCACTCACACTCCAGTGCTGCCATAGACATGATGCTTACCCCGGGTGCATGTACCCACTCACAGATGCTCACACTCCCTATTTAATTCATGTTCCAGTCATAAACAGATGCCTCGATCACACAAAAATACTGCCTATTCCCAGGGCAAGAATACTGTTTATATTAGCTCCCAGCCATGCAGGTGTATCACCTATGTGCAGTAGGGGCTTGCAGTCCTCTTTTTGACAGAAGGGGGAGGGGGTCAAATGCAATAAATAAATAAAGCTGAGCACGAAGAAATGGCCCCTTCCAGCCCCATGGTGTTAAAAGGCCAGCCATATAATTTGTTTCTTTGCATTGCAAAGAAGGAGGAAGATTTTTGGTTTCTTGAGTCCAGACCTTTCTAGCAGCCAAAGCAATGGATTTTAGAGTGATAGAAGAGGTGAAGGAGAAAAGCAAGCACTCATTTCTAAGTCTGAAAATTATAGTGGTCTAAAGAAAAGCCTTCAAGCATTTCATGTGTGGCTGCGATCTCTATTTTAGCTGCTTTATATTTGGAAATTCAAGCAGAGCTAACTGAACAATACGGAAAAGGCAGAACAGTTCTGGAAATAACGAAGCAATACAGAAGCGCCTATGTCAGGCTGACGTTGGTGACTTAAATTAGCTTAGCCAGTCCTCAAGACTCTAATTTCTTTCAATCCTGTCTCAAAAGAAGCACACATCATTTCTTGATCTTTCATCTCATTTGAAGAGCTGTCGTATTTCAGGACCTCGGAGAGCACCCGCGCAGCTGCTCCAGAAGCGGCTTCAGCAGTGCTGCTTGTGCAGCCCTGCAACAGCTGGCTGGCCTGAGGGTGGGGGGACCTTTTCCAGCCTGTACCATTTCGGCCCCGGCCCTCTCTCCCAAAACTCCAGCTGTCCAGAGGCCAAAGGACAGGACCCAAGAGCACGTGCCTATCTGAGCCCAGGGCTCTTCCTGTCAGGAGCAGAGTCGCAGGAGGAGAAGGAGCCTTTCAGAAGAAATAGAAAATGGGAGAAACCATTGAGTTGTAGCCTTCAGGAAGAAGGCATGGCCAGCTGCAGAATTCCAGGGGTCTGGTTTTGACTTCTAGGAGGTCCACATTTGGCCCAAGGGCCTCAGCCGCCACCCGAACCCTGCACCCTCGGCTCCGAGAAAACTTCCTTTGATTCTACTCTCTCTCTCTCTCTCTCCTTCTGTCCTGAAATGGTTAAATGGTGAGGGTGAAGTATTTGATGGGTGGCAGCTTACAGAAGCCCTACCTAGTGACCGTTGTGGGGGCAGGGAAGATGCACGGAACACCTGTTCGACAGGTGTGCTGACTCCTGTCTTCCTCTCCCCCCCCAGTCTCTGGAGGTCCCAGCCTTTTCCCTGCAGCAGCAAGTCAAGAAACAGGCTGGCCACACCAGGCAACCAGGGCCTTCCTTCAGGACATTCTCAGGTTTTACTTGAGGAGCAATGGCACCACTTAAGGGAGGTGTGTGCCTCCTGTCGGGGCTCTAGAGTTTGCAACCCCTGCAGCCAACTGCCTATATCTGGCTTCCCCTCTGTCTCATAGCCACCCCAATTCAGGCCAGCAATGAAACAGATTTCTCCCATTTTGGATTTTTGGGGGGCAAAGGATACGTCTTCGTAGGAGAGCTCTGTCTCTTGTAGTGATGTGAGAAAGCTCTCTCCCACCTGGGAGTAGCCACCAAGTTGGGACCAGCCATGAGCAAAGAGAGAGAGGATGGCTGTCTCGGAGAAGATGTTGGGAGACAGCCTCAGCAGCACTGGTGGGCTCTTTGGGGTCCCCGCATCAAAGCAAGGGTGCCTGAACCTGTCAAATAAAATATGTGTGTTTGTGCGTGGGAGTCTTAGCCTCACACTGTGTGCCTTCTGCCTGACATGGGATGGAAGTCCAGGGTCTTTCCATGGTATTCTGTCCCTCTGCTTTTGGGAAACTATCTATTCCCCTAGTTCATATTCCCATAATACAACTTATGCCAGATCATTGCTCAGCCAGGAAAGATGGAGAGGTTGTTGATAACCTTGTCCCTGTGTTAAGAGGTTTCCAGCCAGGATCCTCACACACGTTGATTGCCCACAGGAAAAAGTGTGCATTCCCTTCCCAGATCAGTAGCAAATGAGGTGCACAGAAATATTTAGATGGTGTGTACTGACATCCACTTGCACCCCCCCCCCCCCCCCCGTTTCAAGGCTTAGGTTTCATTTTAATTCAGCCCAGTGGAGAGAACTGGTTCCAGACCTGAATCAATGTATGCTAGTGTGTATGTAAGAAGAATGAATGCTGTTGCTCTTCAGCAGGAAAAATGAGATGCACAAGTGCGAAGTGGCCTCAGGCTTGGCACTAGCCTGTATGGAAAGGCCTGAGAGTCACAGCAAGCCAGCAGCTAAAAACTGAACCCAGAGCATGATGATAGAATTATAGATTTATTTTATTTTATTTAAAATATTATTACCCTACCTTTCTCCTAAACAAGAACTGTAAAGTTGGAAGGGATGTGAAGGACCAT